ACTAAACAAACAAACAAACCTTTCCCAAAGTTGAGAAGTTCCAAGAATTTATTTATCATTCAAGAAGACTTAAGGATAGACAACTTTGACACTGCCCTTTCCAAGCTGGTTTATGGAAATGTTTCTGCATTATCTTTCGATTTCCTAATCTAGATTACTGTCCTTTTCTGGAAATTAAGTATCAAAATTTCTATTTGGCTGAATTGGATGCCTGCTTCACTGCTTCTGGTTTGAATTTAGTAAATATTCCAGGATTTGCTTACCTGAATTGATCTCCTAAGATAATAAATGTTTGATCTGGCTACTTGAATTTCCAGAAAAGGACAGTAATCTAGATTAGGAGATCGAAAGATAATGCAGAAGACAAAAATAAACATTTCCATAAACCAGCCTGGAAAGGGCAGTGTCAAAGTTGTCTATCATTAAGTCTTCTTGAATGATAAATAAATTCTTGGAACTTCTCAACTTTGGGAAAGGTTTGTTTGTTTGTTTAGTGCTGTCTCAACCAGCCTTCTGTGTTGTTTTTCTCCTAGCCTTTTAGGTTCACAGACTGTACCAATTGGAGTTCAAGCTTAACTTGAACCAAGCTTTTCAAGAATGTTGCTTGTTGTTTTTATTTGAGATGTTCTCAAAATATTTTGTATGCAGAATTGTTAATACTCGAAAGTCAGGAAGATAATTTTGTACAATCCTTCCCCCCACCCTTCCATGGTCTATAATTGGAACTGTACTACCTGCAGCTCTCTATGAAATTCTGGGAAAGGATTCAGCAATTTTATCTCTCTCCATCAATACTTCAATTTCTGAAATGATGACAAATGACTTGAAATGTTGTGATGTATTGTTGGACTAAATAACATTTCTTCCTGCAGAATCTAATTAAATTTGGCCTGCAACAGAAACACAATTACATATGGAAACCATTTCTCAAAAGCGTCTATTTCTTAAATACTTGGAATAAGAAATGGAATATAACATTACTTGCCAGTGATATAACTCATCCCCTTGACTGTGTTCTTGTAGAATAAAGCAAACTCTGGTTTACAACCACAAAAAAATTATTAGCTGGTGCTTTAAATGAAGAAAAAAATATAAATATTTTGTCAGATTTCTCCATTTTCATTATTTGCAAATACAAATACATAGGCACACATGAACACAATTAGTTCCCTATTTCAGTCATTTCAAGTTTCATCAAAACAAAAGTGATAATCTAAATTAATCTTAATCTTAATTAATAAAAATTATGCAAAATATACAGTTGCATTAC